AAACTGGTTAAGATCTGGATAAAGCTGCTTACATTCATTATTATATCCATTATTATATCCATTATTACATAGCATTTCTTTTTTCTATAAAGAAAAATTTGTTTTAAATCACTTTTGTTATCAATGCTTTGCTAAATCACTTTTTACCAAAATTAAATATATCTTCATCAGATTTATCTTTAATTACTTCTTCTATACTTGATAATAAAGATTTTACAGATTCTTTATCACTTTTCTGTTTAGTTCCTGAGTCATTTTGTTGTCTCATTTGTTCTTCTTTTTCATGTTCTAAAGAATCTCTATGTGATATATAATTTACATTTAAAATACCATTATAAGTTGATATACAACATAACAAATCTCCTTTTTTAATGTTTATATCTTTTTTATCGTTATTATATACAGTTATTTTAATATCATCAGTAGACTCTGTTACAATAGAATTTAGTAAATTTAGTTCTGGTTTATAATTTTCTGCAATTGAAATCACTATATGTCCTTTATCTATTTCAACACCACACATTAAAGAAATGTTATTATATGAATTTGATTTTACTGTAAAATCTTCTTGTGCGAATACTTTAATATGTCTATTATTTACTGCTCTATGTTCTAAATCTGAATTAATATAAAAATTTATTCTATATTGTTCATGCTTTTCATAATATAAAAACATTTTACTATTATACATTTTATAAATGAAAAGATTTTTTTTAAATCACTCTGTAATCCTCATATCTATTTTGTTTTTAAAGTTCTTGCAATATAATTTAAAATGCTTTCACCTTGATGTAAAAAATTACACTTTTTATTATCATTATTTTTATATATTAATGTTTTTTCTCCTTTTTTATTTTTCTTTAATTTACTCTCTACTAATTTACATGGAGTATAATGACAAATTTCTACATTTTCTTCAATTTCTTTAAAAGAATGAGCATATTTGCAATTTATATTTTTACATTCTTTTTTATCAAGAATATATTTGCATAATTTAGTTTTAGCTTTTCTTAATTTTAATAATTCTGACTTTTTGGGATGAAACAATCTACACTTTTTATTCTTACATTTTGGGTATTCAGAACATAGAGATAAATGTCTATATTGACATGAAGATTTAGTGCATATGAGTCTTTCCTTTACAGTATTACAATAAGGAATATCATGATTGTATTTACATCTATGTTCAAAATGACAATAATTATCTTTTAAAATATTTTTACAGAAAATGGGTAGTTTCTCTACAAAATGTATTGTTGAAGGTTTTCCATCTTCAGTAAAATTAATATCTACATTAAATGGTTTTTCAAAACTAAATTTTCTGTTTTTATTATGTTTTTTTGTTAAGAAACTATCTATAGCAGGAAAATCATCATTAATAACATTATAAGTTGGAACATAATTAATCCATTTCAGCTTATCTTTATGCAGTTCCATGATTTGAACTGTTTTTAAAGGAATTGGAACTATAGATTTTTCTTTAACTTCATCTTCATCATCTGATGTAAAATAAGTAGCTTCATCAGATGTATAATAAGTGTCATCTTCAGAATCTGATTCTTCAAATTCAAATTTTAATATTTCTTCAAAAAGTTTAAATTCTTTTTGAAATTCAGATATTTCATTAATTTCATCATCATACATTTTTCTTTTATTATTTGTAAAAAATACTTTAAATCAAAAAATTGAAAATGATTTAAATAATTTTCTTTTATATATAAAAAGAATGGAAAACGAAATGCAAAATTCATTTTTAAAATCAATAAATGAAAGATTAAGATTAATAGAAGAAAAATTAAATATTATTAATATTCATGATATTGAAATGACTGAAGATTCTGAAGTTACTACAGTTACTACTACTGAAGTTACTGAAATTACAGAAACTACTGAATATGATAATGATATTGAAATGACTGAAGAAGATGATGAAGATAATGAAGATAATGAAGATGAAGAAGATGAAGAAGATGAAGAATATGATGAATATGATGAATATGATGAAGAAGATGAAGAAGAAGTTACTACAGTAACTACAGTAACTACAGTAACTACTGAAATTACAGAAACTACTGAATATGATAATGAAGATGATAAAGATGAAGTTGTATTTGATAATTAGACTACAGAATTAATAATCTTTTTATTATTTTATTTTTTTACAAAAATAAAATAAATTGAAAATGATATAAATAATTTTCTTTTATATAAAAAGAATGGAAGACGAAGAAAAAAAAAAAATGTTATTAAAATATTAAAAGCAATTAATCGCGCTATAGAAAATGGTAACCTTGAACAAGTAAAATATTTGCATAAATTAAAGTATTATTATGAAGGATTAGCAATTAGTTCTGCTGCAGGAAATGATAACCTCGAACAAGTAAAATATTTGAATAAATTAAAGTATAAATATGAAAAATGTGCAATTAGTTCTGCTGCTATAAACGGTCACTTTGAAGTAGTAAAATATTTACTTGAAATTGGATATAAAGTTGATAAATTAGCAATTAGTTATGCTGCTATAAATAACCACTTTGAAATATTAAAATATTTACATGAATTAGGGTATGAATGTTATGATTGGACAATTGATTGTGTTGCTAAAAATGGTCACCTTGAAATGTTAAAATATTTACATGAATTAGGGTATAAAGGTACAGAAGATGCAATTGATTGTGTTGCAAAAAATGGCCACCTTGAAGTGTTAAAATATTTACATGAACTAGGGTATAAAGGAACAAAAGATGCAATTGATAATGCTGCTGAAAATGGTCATCTTGAAGTATTAAAATATTTATATGAATTTGGGTATAAATGTGACAAATGTGTATTTTATTCTGCTACAGAAAATGGTCATCTTGAAATGTTAAAATATTTACATGAATTAGGGTATAAATGTGACAAATGGACAATTTATATTGCAAAAGAAAATGGTCACCTTGAAATATTAAAATATTTACATGAATTAGGGTATAAATAAGAAACAAGAAAAAAATTGAAAATAAATTTCTTTACATAAATTATAATAAATGGATTGTGCAAGTAAAGATATTAAATTAGGAAGTTATAAAAGAAGAATAAGTTTAGCTCGTTATTTTCAAAATAAAAATAAATTACAATGGGAAAAGTTAGAGAAAGAAAGATTAGAAGAAGAAAAGTTAAAAACACCAGATCAAATTTATTATTAAGAAAAGTCACGTGACGTCATTTTAAGAATTTTTCGTAATATTTCATAACAAGAAATAAAAATTAACACTTATTTTAAAAAATCAATTTTTTTAAAATAAAAAATTATTTCTTATCTAAATAAATTATACACAACATGGTTCAATGTTAACCTCGATATTAATATTAATTTATGGTTGAAAATTTGGTTGAAAATAAAAAATCCCTCTTAATTGGCAATTTTCTTACTACTTTTGACTTTATAGTTTATTTTGGTTTCAGTTTATAGTTTATTAGTTTTTAGTTTTTACTATTTTTGATAACGAGAATACTATCATGAAAAATAAAAATCATAATAAAAGATCAAACAATAACAAAGACAAAATTAATAACAAGGAGAGTAATATAAAAATTAAAAAAAAATACAATTAGTGAAAACATTAAATATTGAAAACTAACTTAAAGCTATTTAGTATTTTTTATATCTTTTAAAAAATTTAAGTCATTTAAAATGAGTTTTTACTATTTTTGATAACGAGAATGCTAATGATGATGATAACGAGGACGCTAATGATGATGATAACGAGGATGCTAATGATGATGATGCTTAATGTGAAATTTTGCTGAAATTATAAATAACGTCATAACCTGCTCTACAGACCGAGAGTAAAGTGAGCTTTGGAAGAACAAAGATATGTTAGAAAAAAAGGCAGAATTAGTCGTGTTAGAAAGATAGCATAGAGAAAGCGGACAGAATTGCACACGATGTTAGAAGGTGCAATAGTATATATATATACAACCGACGTAAACATTATACATATATACGTCTTGGTTTATATATCCGGAGGGTTAAAACTATGCAAAAAACATTTACGATATTCAGTATTCTGGTATTGGATATACTAATATACAGAAGTCCTTGCGGTCTTATCATAGAGCACCGCGGCAGAGCATTTAACAGGAAGGTCACGCCTCCTTCCGTACCAATGTCGCTTGTTGGGCTAGAACCTCAGATCTCCGGGTTCTGAGCCAGAACTCTAACCACTGCCCCCCGGCTGCTCAAATACTACCATTACTAAAAATTTAATCATGGTAGCATTATTTAAAATGGTAGAATTATTTAAAAAATTAATATGAAGGTCTAGTTAAAATTCCTTAAATTAAAAAGTATGAATACAGGAAAACTTGGAAGCTAATTTTTTATTTATCAAATACCTCCAAATATATGTTTTACAAATATAAAAATAGTATATTTAAAGTAGATTAAAAATTCAGTCGATCAAAATCTCAGAATGTTCATAAATTCAGTCGATCGGAATCTCAGAATGTTCATAAATTAGTAGTTCATATTATAATTGAATGTAAATATAAAAAAACGTTTCATAAACTACAATTTTTGAAAGTTTAAAAATTAAGTTAAGCTAAAAGCTGAACTTAATTTTTATTTTCATAACTTATTGATATAAATCCCAAATTTTAAAAAAATTAAAAGCAACGTAAGTAGGTCTACTTACGTTGCTTTCAACTTTTTTTAAATTTCGGATGTATATCAACAAGTTATGGAAATACGTTTTGACATATTTAAGTATAAATTGTAAAAGTTTTGTTATTTATTTAAACCGTAACTTAAAACCTGTAAATGAAATTATTATTTATCAAAACCTTCATCATGTCTCTTTAAAAAGTGATGAAGATTTTCATGTCTTATTTACTTAAAAGTGATGAAGATTTTCATGTCTTATTTACTTAAAAGTGATGAAGGTTTTCATAATGTCTTATTTACTTAAAAGTGATGAAGATTTTTATGTCTTATTTACTTAATATGAATAATAATATCAAGTAAATTTAAACTTTACCACAACAAATTACAATTTAAAAATTACAACTATAACTCAAGTTTTAACTTATCTGTGTTTCCGTCAGTTAGCATGTTTGCAGGTTCGTCAACCCCAAGATCAATGCCTTTCATTACTTCTATTCCGTATTCTTTTTTTAAAACGTCAAAAAACTGTAGCTCGTCTTTAAAACTATCTGGAAGAGCTTCTTCTAAAAGTTCCGCCAGCATTAACTCTTTATCTTTTACATAATGAAAATCAGTCATCGCTCTTTCAAAAAAGTTGCATGTAATCTTTGATGCATTTAAAAATGTAATTGGTGACCACTCAAGAAGATTTTTAGCTTTATATGTATCAATTGGTCCAACTTGAACAGCTGGATACTTAAACCAAGCCGTATCAATATTATAATCATATGTAACATTATTCATCTTTAAACAATCAGCAATCGACTGAAGAATTTTTTCTAAGTTAATGTCTTCTTTAAATGCTAAGTTTATTGTTTGATCATGCATAACTTCAGACTTTTTCAGTATTTTCATAATGGCTGCAGTCACATCTCCAACATAAACCATACTGTGATTTAATTTCATAACAGCAATAGGTAATGGAACCTTTACATTAATATACTTGTGTACTTTCATTAGAGTTTGATACACCCACCATCTTAATGTTGTATCGCGTTCACCTAAGTTTGGTCAAACTTTACAAACTTTACTTTACAATATTACAATAAACTGCATCAAAAAATATTTTGAAATTTAATTTTTCACAACTTCAAAATATTTGCAAACAAGATACATCGATTTAGTCAACAAAACACTAATTACGTATCACACTTAAAGCAAACGCAACGAAGTTTATTTAATAAGTAAATTAATAAAATTTATAAATCAACTTTTTATAAAAAGACATCCATAAAATACTCACTAGTACATACAATATAAGAAATAATAAAACTAAAATAAATTAAATTTAGACAACAACGTCACCAATTATAAGTAAAGTAATGTAAAACTATAGAGTAAAGATATTTAAAAATAAATATATTAAATATTTAATATGTATATAGTTTTGAGCATATGAACTAAGTTTTTTTATTTATTCTGAATTCATTTGAATTCGTTTTTACTTTTTTATTTTTTAACTAATGTAACTGTTAAATTACTTCGGAAAACTTTATAGAAGAGAGCAGGGCAGTCCCAAAAGGCCCTGGAAGAGAGTGATACAAAGTGAGATTTACTGCAGAATTTAAGAGCAAAACCAGTTCTGAATACATGAAATAATTTATTGAAAAGCACATCTATCACCAAAAATCAGAGTTATAAGGTACTGAAATAATAGAGATGACCTTTTTATTCTTAACAATTTAGAGAAAAACTTGTCTATTTATTCACAAGCTCATAATGATAGCCATTATAATAAAGGTTTTTTATTATAATGGCTATCATTATGAGGTAATTTTTTATTAAATAATTAATTTGATTGAAAAATATGGCTAAATTATTTATCTAATAAGTAATTAAAAAATTTTGAGATTCTACGACATCTAAAAGATTACATCATCAAAACTTGTGCTTAACTCAGTACTCAGAAGGTCTAATAAAAGAATAGCACTAAAAAATAATGAGGAATGATTTCAGAATGAGTATTAGTTCTGCTTTTGGCTTTTATTCAGTAACATTTATCTCAGTTAGAGCTTTTTTAAAGTACATTTAAGTGTGTTAATCAGTTATACTTCTATGAAAAGAAACTTTTAATTCCTAAATAATATCAAACCATCCAAAATGGTATTACCTTTACCTGCAACATTTGTGTAATTGGGAAAGTTATAGAAAAGCATTTTTTGTTATAAATAGTGCAACAATAACACAAAAACTTGTAATTAACTTCAGTAGATAGGAAGCAGTGACACATGTTTCTCGAGAAAATGTTTTACCCATAGTAAACATTTGTTTTTGAGACAGAAGACTACAGGAATAAAAATATCTTGAGAAGTATCTATTCCATGTACTTTATTAATCCCGTGTGTTCTGCCGGCTATTTTTTAAATTTTGTTTGGAAGCAATTTCTTTAATAAACCCTTATAATGTTTGTTGTTTGGTTGGTGAAAGATTTAAAATTATGATACCTCATTTACATGAGCTAAAATGTTTCTGACGGTCAGCACATTGCATCAAAAATTTCTGGCCAAATATAGTCATTTTTCTTTCAAAATTTCAATTACGTAATAACCATTTAGTATGACCAGCGATTGCTTCTGCACCATCATAACGTTGTGCACTACAACTCATAGTATTAATTGAAATACCAAAACAAACTCATAGTATCCAGAAATAAAACTTCCGTGGTGCTCTAAAAACTTGAATAAAATACCCATTGATATGTTTTAATATATAGTTGTTGCTATTAATTGTCATCGCCTCCTGATAACTATGGAAACTCGTAACTATGGAAACTGATAACAATGAAATCTAACTAAAATATTACTTAGGTTGCATAAAAAAAAATTGTTGTCAGTGAAATTATCATATGATGAAAATATTTAAAAACGAAGTTTTAATATAATGAAACAAATTTTAGTACGACAAAATTAGTTTAACTTCTAAAATCTAAGAATTTTAAATCTAAAAATTTAAATAGTTTTTTAAATAGCCTTTAGACTATTACTTAGAAACAAATCAATTTGACAAGTTTTACAAAATTTGACAAATATCACGTTTGTAAAGGCTGTAAAGTATTCATTAAATCTGAGTTAGGGTTCTAAAGATATATTATATTGGTTGTAGCTAGATGCAAATAAACAATAAGGTAGATGTAAATTAGAATAAGGTTTATTTTAGACACAGTGTGCAATTACTGTGGAAGCAAACAATTAATTTTTTTACCTATAAAACCTATTTTAAATATTTGCAACTGATAATGCGTTTTATCATAAGTAAATAAAAAGTAAAAAAATACTTAAGGATCAATATTTTTGCTCCACAGTGATTGCAACTGCATTAAATTCTCATTATGTACCACTCTCCAAAATTACAGCTGCTAGTCAAATTTTGAAAATATGTTATACCTATCACAGTTGCTAAGCGAAGTATAATGTACGGAAAACCAGAAAGCTGTCTTTGTTTTACCAATGCTTTTTCACAATCCAGTTTATTAGATGCATATTTACTCATTTTTTTTGTTTGGTAATCCAACTCACTCCTAACATCATCTTCTCGTAAATAACGAGGACCATGTATTGATGTATGACTTTTACTAGATTTTAACTCGTAAACTGCATCAGTACTTAAAAAAATGTATAGGCCAACTCTGTTTTTCAAAATATCAATAATTTGTTCAATATGTTGTTTCTGGTATGAACTAAAATCAAGCACGAAGTCATAAAAATCGTCCGTCAATAAAGCGTGACAGCTTTTTTTAAGCAAAGTGTTTCTATCACAAGTAAATGTTCTAAAGGCATTTATTTCTATTTTTTTTTTGGTGTCAAAATAAACGTTTCCTCTGTTTACGAGCGTTACATTGTAGTCGAGGTTTTTAAAGTTTTCAACTACATGACTTCCAATAAATCCGTTTCCACCAAGAATTAAAACATTCACACTGCATGTTCCATAAATAAAGTTTAATAGTACCAACTTAAAAATGACAGTCATTTTTTTTTTGCCAATTTAAGTTAGAAAACAAGAATAACACTCATAATATTTTTTCTATTAAATTTCTTTGTACAGCTTAATCAAACATAAAAATCGATTTTTTTTTAGATTTTTTTTCTAACCGCATTTTTTCTTATTCATACTATCCAACAAATGACAACAAAGAATAAAAATAATCTTTATTCTTTGTTGTCATTTGTTATATATATTTTTTTACATTTATCTTTTATTCTGGTCTGACTTTTTTGAAACTATAAACAAAAGTATGGATATAGTTTTCTATTGATATTTAACTGATATGTTACTAATCTATACCAATGTCTCGCTGACTTTATTTTTGTAAAATCGTGTCATTGGTTTAACTTCTATAAAGTTTTTAAAATACTTTTTAAAGCAAATATTATCTCAACTGAAATAGTATAAACTAAACAAAATTGAACAACATCACCAGTATTGTAAAAGATTTAAACCAAAAAAAAAAATGTTAGTAACTTTATTTTAACTTTAGTTTTATTTTTTAAATTAAATAATCAATACCATCAAATTTAAATATGTTTAGCTTAAATAGAAGCATAGAAGAGATGCAAAAAATGGTATGTATGTATGGTAATGGTAGAAGGGATAAAAAAATTATTTTAAAAAACAACATATTTTTTTAAATAAAAGATTATGTACAAAATATTAAGTTTCAAAGCGGGAAAAGAAATACATTGTTCTTCAAAAGGTTTTCATAATATACAGAGTTTCTCCAAAGTTACGATCTGATTTATTTTACTTATAACTTTCTGGTGAATTAAATTTTTTAACTTAAATCATATGAGATAAATGGATTCTATTTGAGCGCAGAAAAATTTGGGTTCATTTTAACGTATTTTCCATCACAGAACTCAGAAAATCCTGGTCATATATTTGCGATTTTGGCATTGATGGCAAAATTTGGAGTTTCATTTTTCATTCAGACTTCTTTGATGATCATGTAACATCAGACTTCTTTGATGATCATTTAACATCAGACTTCTTTGATATCCATGTAACACCAGACTTCTTTGATGATCATGTAACATCAGACCTCTTTGATGATCATGTAACATCAGACTTATTTGATGATCATGTAACATCAGATCTTGAGTTAACTGTATAGAAACTTTCTTGTATAAAAAATATAGGCCTGACCAACCTTTTTTGTAGGTCATTGGATGTTTTTTTTTGAATAAATCTGCTGATTACCAAATTATTGGTGGTAAAAGTTATTTTTTTCCCAATAATGTTGAAGTTCTTATTGTGAATTATTATTTTGTTGATTGATCAACATTATAACAGGATATTATTGTAGAATGATCTGTTAAAGTATTTTTTGAGTTTATCTTCAGTTGTTTGAAAACAAAACCTAAAAAAGTTAGTCTCTACGATCCTATAAAAAAAATAAATCAGATGAGTTGGTGACAACTAACATTGTAAATCGATAATCAACTCAATATTAAATTTATTATTAAAAGAAAATAAAATAAAAAAGAACAACTTAAATAATTATGGATACAGTTATTCTTAATTATTTATTTACCTATTCTATTGAAGTTTATTATATTTTTTAAATTTACTTTTTAAGTTTACAGAATGAATATATTTATTTAAAATATATATTTATTGTTAATAATTCTGCAGTAAAAACTTCTGATAAATCTAAATACACAGTAAGTGTACATCGATGAATGATGTACATATACTGTGTATATTTATTACAGCTAATAATTACTTGTAGTAAGTTAAATGTTACCAATCTACTTTATTTTTATTAACAAAGCGGTATAGTTTTAAAGCTTTTGTAACGGATACAATTATACTTGTAGTAAGTTGAATGTTACCAATTTATTTTATTCGTTTTAGTAAGTAGGGTTTTGAAATAATGGCGTTATACTCTATAAAAATAGGTAGAAATTTTTACCTTAGTGTAGGATATGTGATATACCCTTTGGAGGTATAATTTTCTACCTTCAAAGGTAGAAAACTATACCTGTAAGGTACAAAATAATACATTTAAGGTAGAAAATTGTATGACAAACCATTATTTTTAATATAGTTTAAGAAAATTATATTAAAAATAATAGTTGGTCATACAATTTTCATTCAAAAAGGATTTATCAACATATCCTATATGGTTGTATCAACATATCCTACCCTAAGGTAGAAATTTCTATCTTTTTTTTTAGACAACAAACACATGTTTATATATAAACATTTATTTCTTGTTCCAACTAAAGTGTTAGACCATCGTTAAGTTTTCATTTATAGTTACAAATACTTTAGATACTTTAGTATACAAATACTTAAGATACTTTAGTATTTGTAAATAGGGATTAGAATAGGTTTAATGTTTAAAAATTAAGGTAACAATACTAAGAAAATAAAATCTAACAATGTAGCAATTGCATAATACTAACTGCTAAAATTTAGCAATCAAATGTTGAGCCGAAATTCTATGTATTTCTATGAACGTCATTCTATGTATTTCTATGTACGTCATTCTATGTATTTCTATGTACGTCATTCATGTATTTCTTTGTACGTCATTTTGTGTATTTCTATGTAGGTCATTTTATGTATTTCTATGTAGGTCATTCTATGTATTTCTATGTATTTTATTGCACTTTAATTTTTTTTTTTTTTTTTTTTTTTTTTTTTTTTTTGTTCTTTTTATTTATTCAAAATAAGTTTTACAATATAAGAATGAATAAAATACGTATAGTCAGAATTACAATTTTGTTAACGTTACAACAAGAACGCGGATACTCGCAGAAGATCATAAGATCTTGTCATCGAGAACCGCTTAAACAGTTTTTAAATAATAAATAATCCTTTAATAATTCATAGACAAATATTCACACATAAATACAAATATAATTATTTATACATATTTAAACATACAAACATGTAAATAAATATACTTACACATCAACATATATATATACACATACATATAATACGCACAAATACACATACATATATACGTACATACATAAATATACATACACACATACATATATATATATCCATATATCCATATATACATATATACATATATATATATATATATACATACATACATACATATATACACATATATACATACACATATACACACACACACACACACATATACATATACATACATATATATATAAGTTAAGATAAAAGATTTCGTATATATAAATTACAATAAAATATTTCTTAAGAGTATTAATAAAAAACAAAACAAACTTAAAAATATATCAGAATGTTTTCAACTGAGAAAAGAATTTCTTTTAATTTTCTTTTAAATAAGAAAAAGTTCCAATCAAGAGAGAGATCAAAAAGTTTTAACACTATTTTGTTCCATAAAAATGCTCCTCTAAATGAAATACAAAATTTACCAAAATTAGTTTTGAAAACTGGTTGAAGAATAAAATTTTCATTACGCAAATTGTATTTATTTTTAACTTTTAAAGAATATAAATTGTGAAAAGAAATTGGAGATGTGCGAGACTTACATTTAAACATAAAACACAATACATTAAAAATATTAAGTTGATATATATTAAGAATATTCATTTCGTTTAAAAGAGGCTTAGCATGATAAAATCGATGTTTAAAATTAATGTCGTGCAACATGTTTCTGTTGGCGATAAAGTGGTTCTAATTTAGTTTTTCTTACACTACCCCAAGCCGCATTAGCATAGTTTAGATGGCAATGAATAAAAGAGTGGTAAAGCTGAATTAAAGTATGTTTATTTGGCACGGTTCTTATTTTAAATAGTATTCCTATACTTTTGGAAATTTTAGAGGGTAAGTTTTCAATATGTTTTGTAAATTGTAAATGATGTAGATAGAACTATTGTTTATCGTATTTTTGAAGATTTTTTTTTTCAGGTAACTAATTGATTAAATAAATATGAATATATATAAATAGTAGGATTTAGAGCAGAGACCTTAAATATACCACCCTTATTACATTACTAATTTAAAATCCAGTTTAAATATTTTTTTTGGTAATTGCATGGATAATTAGTAATTCATGATGTTAGTCATTAAGACGGCAAATTTTGTAACTAAAAGCAGTCTTTCATGTTCTACCAACTCAAAAATGACCAGTTTTGTAGTTATTGATGGTTAGAATAAGTCTCGTGGTGCTAAACATTGGAGTACACACAGTATAAACATCGTTACAAGCAGATTGACTATAATAATGCAACTTGAGAAATTTTATAATCATGTATCTTATTGATGCAATGTTGGTATTAATAAATAGTAGGTTGGTGTCTGTGGCATATAAAATTAATAGAATAGCTATCAAGAACTTTGGCTAGAAATATTAGACAAGGTTTGATATAATTGTGTAATAAATTTTGGATGAACAAAACGGATTTCAGATTGAACAAGAGTTTGGACAAATGCCCAAAAATTAGATATTTTGGGCAGTTGAGCACTCTACATTTGCCTATTGTGGTAAATGTAGAGTGCTCTGTGCCCCATGTAAACCCCAAGTGTTTGAGTCTATTTGGTAAATTTATTTGATTACCATCGAGGGATATTGTGCAGCTTTGTAACTGTCATTTACTTGTCAGAAGCGACCCTGTTTTATTAGGGTTTATTTTTATGCAATTTAATTGCAGTATACATTACAAGTTTTTATTAATTTTTCCAGAGCAGATAAAGTTGAGCTTAAAAGTATAATATCATCAGCATACGCTGCCACACCATTGAAGTTACCATATATAGACGCACCTACATTACTTTCATTTTTAATGATTTAGAGTAGGTCCTGGGTATAAGTATTATAAAGGTGTGGTGATAGAATTGAACCCTGTCTTACTCCTTGAATAAGATCCCATTTTATTTGGAGCCTTGATATGAGCCAGTTGTACTGCTATTATAGTATAGTGAAAAGATTGCCCTAACTATATACAAAGGTAGTTTTTTACCGAAATACAATTTATCAAAAGGAATTTCCCAGTTACAGCTATCAAAGGCTTTTTCTGCATCCAAGGAGCATAAATAAACAGTTGAATTTTTATTATTGTAATATTTAATAGTTTCACTAATTACAAATTCTGCATGCAGGGTTAAAGAGTTAGATTTAACCCAAATTGTAGCGGGTGAGTGATCTTCGAACATATTATTAAAATCAGATATTCTAAAATTTTTGTAAAAATCGGTATTATACTAGTTGTTTGGGTTAACCAAAAACTTTTTGAATGATTTAGCTAGTGGTATAATGATAGATGAAGACATCGATTTCCGAGTCATCAAAAATTGGTTGAGAAATTAAAGAAATTAATTAGCCACTGTTTCAATGCGTCACAGTTTGCGTGTTTCAAATGTTCAGCTGAAATACCAAATGAGTCACTAAACTTGTTTGATTTTAAGGCGGCAATAAAGAAAAGTAAGAAAGCTGCTTAATATTTTGTTCGGTTATCATTACATTATCATGCTTTGTGCATGGTGGAATTTTTCTGATTATATTGTTTTGAGTTATTCGAGGAGTGTTTAATAATTTTTCAAACACATTTGCAAATTCTGTGGTGATAGTTTCGTTATCCTTTTTATTGCTTATTGTGAACGATCGCGAGTTTGTATCTTTTTTAATACTTCTAAAATCATTCTAAAAGTTTTTTGGTTTGATATTTTTTAGCTTTTCAATTGCAACGTATTGCTTGTAGAGTTTATTATTTTAAGTTAACTTCACAAATTTCCGGAAGTTTTTTTGAGCCATTTTATACAAATTGTAAGTCATAGAATAAGAATATTTTGTAAAACTCTCCATCTCTCCATTTTCGAAAATGATACTAGTCCACCAGGGTTTGGAATAAATAGGTTGTTTTTTCTGGTTGCGGTATTCGGAATGAGCGCAATTGCACTATTGATAATAGTTTTATAAATTTGGCTTCTAAGCCAAATTTATGAAAACGAGCAGTTGGAGCAATTTATGAAAAATGGCAGTTATGAAAACGAGCTAAAGCTCGTTTTCATAACTGCCATTTGTGCCATTGGTGGTCATTGAGTTTAAAAAACTGTTATTACTTAACACTTAAAAAACAAGACTTAAAAAACTGCTGTTACAATGTTTGAATAATAAATATTTTGATGAATTTAGTGGCCGTTCTAAACTATACTTTATAAACACTTATTTACATAGATTTCGAAAAATTATTTGACTTAGTATTTACTTTATAAAGAGCAAGACTTCAACAGCTTAACAACTTATTTAGATTGTAGCTACTTTAAGCGAATGAATGAAGTGGCAATTCGTCAGCCGAGAACCAGGAGGTCATTTGTTCACATTTTGCGTTTTTTCAGTTTATTATTAATAAATACTCAACAATCAATGAGGTATGTGTCCAATAAATCTAATCTGAATAATGATACAGCTTTTAAAAGTTTTTTTAAAAATTAAAAAAAAAATTAGTCGGACATTCTGAGAGAAAGTCTTTACAAATTAAATTTTAAAACTTGGTTTTCTCGAAAACACATAAAGGACATATGGACATAAAGTTGAATGGGCATAAAGCCTCATAGTTCTCGGCTGACTTGTCGTTAACCGTATCAACAATATTCTTCAAGTCGTTTAAAAGTTTTGTTTCTTTCGCAGTCTAAGAATTTATACAATTAAGGCCGGCGTGAAGTAGGGTGTGCCCCCTTTGCGCCTTTCTTGATTGAATATGAAGAAGGTGATATTGTTAAATACTATATATAGTATATAACAATATTAATTATTGTATGAAAAAAAAAAGTAAATAAAATATATATTGAGTGAATATATATTGAGAATCATTTTTTATAATTATGGTAGATAATTATTTCTCCTTTAAGTAAATGGGGGACTTACAAATTTTAAATAAAATTTGTAAACTATTATTAATTATATGTAAAATTTAATAAATATGTCAGTATTATATAATATATATTTATATAAAATACTGTTTGTAATAACAAAAGTGTTTGACTTATTATAAGCTTTCGAAAAGACAGCGCACCCTGCGATACGATAACATTCAGTCTAAAATATAAAAAAATCGACTAATTTTGCTAAAAAAAAATCTTCACAAAAGCCCCCATTAGGTGTTTATTTTTTAGACTTATTAACAAAATATATTTCATAAATTTCAACATAGTTTATATTGAGTTGATGAAAAAAAAACTTTTTCTTTAATTATTCATATTTTAGTCATTTTCTCGTAGAAAACTAAGCGTTCCCACCAACAAGACACATTTATTAATTTTTTTTTTCAGATTCCCTATAAAATTCCCCACAAAAATGAAATCTTTTTTTAAAAACAGGAAAAAAACAACACACTAACGTAACATTCTTTGTCTAAAATATGAAAAAAAAACCCTGATTTTTGCAAAAATACCTTTCACAAAAACTACTTTTCTGTGTTTATTTTTATTTTTTAAACCAAATAATCAATTTCTTATAATTAAACATAACAATTATTGATAATCAAAAATTTTAGAATAAATTTTTTTTTTTAAATAATAGTTAAAATTAGTCATATTTTAGTCATTTTTCCGTTCAAAACGATGCTGATCCAACCAGCAAGACATTATTAAAAAATTTTTTTTTTGCAGATTTGGAATCTCGATATAATTCTCCACCAAAAGTAACCCAACCATTTTTAAAATTATAAAAAAAAAACAAAAAAAAAACGACACACCCTATTAGAAGGTTGCATACTTACCCAAACAAAAAGCAATGGCTTCCAATAATATAAATAAAAAGTAAAATAAATTTCTAAATTCTTTATTCGAAAAAATGCTTCTAATATATTTCATATAATATACATGAAAAAAATATACAGGAACTATATATGAAAAATAATTTGTTGAAGCAAATTGCGATTGGTTAAAGAAAGTGTTATGGATTATAGTTTAAATTTATAAATAAAAAATATTTTGTTGGTGAAAATGAAGAGGATAAATAAAAGTTATAAATAAAAATAAATATATACTAGCATATAATGCTTCATATAAGCAATATGTCTTATATTTTATAATTAGAAACTTAACTAAAATTATGTACAGCTATGACTACGTAGATGGATCACTCTTTTGTCTAGCTCGATGTACGATATCACGAATTCGAGAAATAGCGATCTATTAGAAACCAGATTTGTACAGAAATATAAAATTTGCTCTCGAGTCCTTAATACAAGGAGGGAGGTGGGGGAGGGGTATAGGTTACAATATTGGTATTTTTTATAAAAACACGCTCAAAACTATTTAATTCTAGCGTCGCTTGCGGTCTAATGCTGATAAAAGTTTTTTACTTTGGTGAGAAATAAACCAAAAGCACATTTTCGACAAACCGAGATTTACTAGGTCGGTGTTTTTTAAAGCCTGTTTACACTGAAAGTTTTCGTTTTATCAGTGACTTATTTTTAAGGTCGATTTTCACTGATTTTTTTTTAGTTTTGAGATATAAAGTTTTTTCTGACAAAAAGTTAAAATTAATAAATGGGTGGTGTTAATAAGCTTGGAGTGGGTGGAAAAATTTCCAAAAATTAATAAACGCCCCCCCCCCCCCCATTGTATATTAGAGACTCGAGAGTATAACAAATATCATGTATAAACTAAATATGCATAAAACATGTAAATATTAAAGTATAAATATTTACCAGAATTTAAGTAAATAACCAAAATACCTGCGTTCCATTAAAGGTTCCAGTTATATACACAGGAACATCGTTTGCCCCTTGTTTATCTTTAGGCACTTCAATATCAGCTTGAGCTTTATCTTGAATGTCTTGAACAACTTGACCTTTTTTCCCTATGACTCGTCCTACACAGGAACCAGGAACAATAAATTCTGTTTTAAGTTGTGCCTCACTATATGCCACTTTCATGGTCTCTTTGATTTTACTGAACACGCATAAAGAAGCCTACAATTTATATTCATTCATTTATATTGATTCGTTATAACTATTTTCAGTAAAATAATTATAAAGTAAAAGCTATATATAAATGTTTTGAGTTAACTTATGACTTAATTTGCAACTTTTAGTTAATCTACAACATTTAGTAGTAATATCATGTTAATTAGAGAGTCCTAATTAACAAAAAATATATATACCTGGATAAAAGCAATAAATATATACCTGGATTTTTCCTGATCTCTACATACATCATTTTTATAGTTTGTTTTGCTAATTCAAATACTTAACATAAGTTACTATATAAGTGACTTAATATAGAGGATTAAATTAATGTTATTGAAAGAACTAAAAATCAAATTAAAGAATCAAAAATTATATTTTTAATATTTAAAAAATATTAAAATTATCTATTTTTACCATTTAAAAAAAAAGTTTCTAAAAATTTTAAAACTGTTTTTTATCGTTTAAAAAAAAAGTTTTTTTACGTTTTTTTTTTTTTTTTTTTATAAATAAATTTATAATAAACAAGTTTTTATAAAATACAATTACTATTTTGGAAACTTTTATAAAATATAAAACACAGCGAGGTCAGTTGGGACCTCGCGTGTTTTATATTTTATTCAAAATTTTTACAGTTCACTAATTTTTACTCAAAATATTTACAGTTAAGTGTTCACGGTTTGTAAATTTGGGACCCTAATATCAATGAAATACCCTATGAAAACCCTTTTAAGGGGGGATAGTACATAACAATGGATGGCCATACAGAGTGATTTTGAAATCCTGCATTAACATCCAATGGAGATTTTTTACCTTGAAGTTTTGAAGAAAATAAGAATTTAAGCAACATTTGGCAGCCTATTTGTAGTACAAAAATACATTTCTGATTTTTTATCATAAAACAAAAAATGTTAAAAACATAAATTGGGAGCTTTTTTATTTTATTCATTTATTTTCTTAATGATCACATTTAGAAGATAAACAACAATTTCTATAATTCCATTAAAAATTATAATGCTCTCTAGAGACGAATCATCTGGAACAAAATAAAGGCACTAAAATATCACAAATCTGTTAAGAGTATTCTTAGGATTTTTTTAACACTGTTCTTTAGATCTAGATTTTCTTGCTGTTGTATTCGATCACACACTTCAGGAGTTGGCTGGCATAGTCTGGATGTGAGGAATCTCGTTTGTATCTCTCCCAATGAACTTTGAAATTGGAGTGCAGAGCTTCTGTTGCCTGCTCACTGAAGAGACCCAATCCTGTTTTCTTGATTTTGATGAACTGAGGTACATGGTAAAACACTGCATGTACTTTTGGAGTAACTGAAATGGGTAGGCAGATGTAGCTTTGTTTGAACTTGGAGATCTTCGACTCATGATCAGGATCCAAATTATTGCCAAAGCAAGAAATGACCACATCCTTAAATAGTGCAAGTGTTTGCATGAAGTCATGAGCTTGACTAAAATTGTTGTATCCTGTGACCAATTGCAACTCGTCTAAACCTCTCAAGAGCTTCATGCAGTCATTCCCATTGAAATGTCCACCATGGTAGGGCTGAATAGGAATATGAAGTGAAGCTGGCCATTTCTCGGCCCCTGGCCAAATTTTGCAAAGGTTTTTATACAAATGGTTTACTACTCCAAGTAACAAATGGAGCTCCATTGGAGGGATAGCTTCAAGCACAAGCTTGTGATCAGGAAAATCAACCAATGGTACGTGAATGACATTTTTGAACTCCTTTGATTTTCTTGTATCTCCTCCTGCGTTGATGAATTCAAAATGTTGTCTCCTAATCTTGCCAAAAGTTCGAGGACTTCCACAGTTTTGGAGGTTTAAAGACGAAACATCACACCAACAACATGGGTGTTTGCTGCTATGGGATTGAATACCACACAGAATATTTGCCAACTTTAGGTCACATGATATAACCAGAGAATCCATCTGACATTTCTCTTGTGCTTGGATGAGGTCAAAAATTGCCTTCACATTATGGTAGTTCTCTGGAGTGTTTTGTGCAATTGCTACCAGTAGTTGCTGCTTGACACTTGTTGATTTAGTTGTTTGTGGAGACATTAATTTGATTGTTTTCTGCAGTGGGCTATGTGGCGGTGTCTCACCTTCATCCACAATGATGTGTGTGAAGCTGACTTTCAAAAAAGATCCTCTACCATCAATCCCTAGTTTCAAAATTGCAGAATCTGTCATCTTTCTTGATGCTAAGAAGACATCACTAAGACTACTGAGGTTTTGACAATGCACAACTTGGGATATTTGATTGTTTTCAAAAAGAGTGATGCTGCTCACAGTGAAGTGATCACAAAGTTTTTGGCCTGCTTGAGCGAATTTTTGCTGAAAACTTGGCTCCACCAATCTGATAGGACTGATTTGATTTAGTGCCGATCCAAGTTTTCTCATCCCATTGTTTGAAAGTCCTATATTCTGCTGAATTTGAACCATATTCTGCGTTGTGAGAGGCTCTTTGAAAAGTTGCTGTGCTGATGAAGGTCCTAATTATAAAAATTGCATTTAAAAAATAGTTCATGACCTTCAAAAAATATTAATATTTTTCAAAAACTTACTTAATTTAAAAATAAAATTTTCTCTGCAAATATATTTGCAGAGAAAATTTTATTTTTAAATTAAGTTTTTGAAAAATAAATAGATAATATTTATATTTTAATTTAATCATTTAAAGTTCAAAAGCACTATTACCTTTTCTCAATGGCAATAATTTTTCACAAGGTTGACTGAGTCTGATGGTGCCATGAGGAGATGCACTTTTTGATGCCAAAACTGTTGCTGCAACTCGCTCTGCACCAATCGGATCAGAGGCAGCCATTCTTCTCAAATTTTCATGGCGTGTTCCAGGAGTGCAGTAGTGAGGAAGCCCACGACCAATAACTGACAAGCACTTAGTACAATGCTTTTCTGCATTTTGCAAAGATTGTTGGGGAACTTTTGGTGCTGAATCTTGAACCTTGCTTAATGGATGCCTTTCTTTTCCCTTGAGTTTGGCAATCTTACAAATCAAGCACTCACAGACTGTAGAAAAACGAGTAAGAGGCTTGATCGAAATTGATTCAAAGTTATAAATCTGAGGCACAACATTTGTTTTACCATCACACAGCTTTCCAATGTGAGATCTGCAGGAGATGCAGGTCGCCAATGGTACTCTGTCATCATTGAAGTTGATTTCTTTCTGAATTTGTTGAAGAATTTTAGCTTTGAAGTTTTCAGTCAATTCTTGATCACCTTTCTGCATACAGATAACACAAACAGATTTTCTACATTCTTCATGGTTTTTGGCAAATGTAGGCATCTTTAAATTCTTAAATATTTGTTCACAAAAAAATATGTTTTCCTTCAAAAACTATCTTAAAGTGTACTGCCTTTTCCCAGAATATATTTGTTTACTCTTTTTGTTAGTTTCGAAAGTTCGACTTTACGCTTGCACTGATCAAAACGCTCAATAAAGAATTATTTCAAAAAAAATGAATAAAATAATAAACATTTTACGTTTCATGGGCTACAATCTTTATTTTATAAAAAAAATTAAGGGCGCAAGTTTAGTACCATTAATAGGCAGCTTAATTTGGCTCATAAATCAACCCTTTTAAAAAACCTTCATGATCAAATAATTCTTTTTGATGTTAATCCCCGATTTCAAAACAACTCAAAATAGACTCCCATTGGCATGTACTATTCCCCTTAAAAGGATTTTCATAGGGTATTTCATTGATATTAGGGTCCCAAATTTACAAACCGTGTGTTATTTTATCACATAGAACAAACCAAGGGTTGCAAAAAAAAAAATTTTCAAAAGTAACTTCACCCCACCCTAATGTGTACTTTAAAATTAACCAATGTTTACAAAATATTTATAAAGCTTATGCGGTTTTCACAAAACTTACTCTCCATTGACAATCTGGAGGTCCTACAATTTCCACTTTACTTTCTCCACCTTCGTCTCCTTTTATGACTCTTATCTGTGCACCACTATACTGCTTCATTCTACTAATGTAACCACCATTTCGACCAATTATAGCTCCAACCTCTTTAGTTGGAATTAAAATACAAGTAGTTTCTGGTTCAAAATTACTATAATATGGAACTTGTTGAGGTGGAGTGTAAGGCAGATATCCATGACCTAATATACCAGGGTAATTATTCATAGAAGAAGGATATGCAGGGTATCCAAAGGTATCCTAAAATAAAACAATTCAAAGTAACATTTTTAAACTTCAACTTTGTTTAGATGCAATCATACCACACACATAACATAATATAGTTTAAAATACATACATACCACTGTATAGCCTCCATACATTCTTGGATACATTTGAGGATTATAACCATAATTTATCTGCCCGCCAAATGCTGCTCCATGGTACAAACCCTAAAAATTGTAACTAGTAATTACTTCTTTAAGTAGAAATACAACAAAAACAAAAATATATTTTATCTGATTTAAATCAATTTCTTTTTTTTTCTTCATAGATTTAAAAAAAAAAAAAAAAAAAAAATTTTAACCAAAAAATAATCCATTAAATTCTTAAATTTTGGCATATAAAATTGTCACATGGTGGCACGCAAGCAGTGAATGAGGGAAAAAACTAAGTACTCTAGAATAAAGGAGAATTATTTTTCAAACATATTTAGACAGTTATCAAGAGAAAAAAAAAAGATTATTAGAGTTGAAATTATACAAAAATAAAACAAGCACAGCACCTAAACAATACTTAAAAAATAAAATTTCTTATAAAAAATAAATAATAAAAATTTCTTATAAAAAGTAAAAATGGATAAAGGTGTACAACAAATATTATTCACCAAATTAAAATATATATAATAAATAACTGATTGCAAAAAAAAAAAAAAAAACATACAATGACCTGGGGTATGTGAATATAAAAAAGAACATAAATGCTAATGTGATTATAGTAATATATATATATATATATATATATATATATATATATATATATATATATATATATATATATATATATATATATATATATATATATATATATATATATATACATACATCCATACCTGGATAGATATATATATCCACACCTACTTGAATTCAGAAGGTTAGGTAAGAGGCACATTTATACATAAGTAATATGGATATATATGCATATAAACATATATGTTTGATATTTATTTAGATGCATAAAATGTATTTACATATTTGTATAAACTTTAGTAATAATATGGTGGAGTATTTGCCAAAGGAGAAGACGATGATCAGAGTGGTATGACTCTAGCAAGAAAAAGAGCCATATTCTTAGACAGAGTTTAGGAAAAACGTTGTATTGAACTACTTTTGTCAGAGAAGATTAAAGTGGTTTGGGTATCAGCATGTAGAAGCAAGAAAACTTGGAGAGAGCACATTACATATGGTATGAATGAACATTAATTAAAGAAAGAAATCATTTTAGACAGGTTATATTAGAGAAACAATATAAAAGGTTTAGGCTAAAGCTTGACAATGATGATGATCATATTGATGATTAAATATAAATATACATGTATATATATTTGTAAAATATAATATGAATTTTAAATAAAAAAAAATATACTTTAGGATATATCAATGCCTATGCAGCCTCGGTCCCAAACCCAGCCCTAGTCAAATTTCAAGCACAGTCACTTACTACCGTGTACATTAGGGCATCCCATACTTTTCAAAAAACAACTTTTTTTATAATAAACACTTGGCCCTTGGTAGTTTTTTGCTAGAAAGTATATAAATTTAGAATCTGTTGAAATAAAGCTGCTATTAATAGGTCTTCATTTGCAAAAATTGATTTATTGCTATATTTTATTGACCTTAAAATTATCTTGAAGCGTAAATACATTTTTAAGCGGAAGCTATAAAAAACTGTATAAACTTCTTGATAAAATTAAATTTTTTACATTTTATAGGAAATTTTTGAAACAAAAAAGTTCTTGATGTTCAATATTTTTTGCATTTTTTTTTTTTTTGTAATTGGCTTTTATATTTTTATTAACTTTAACCCACAAATACTATATAATTGAAGTAAAAAAGAAAATTTACAATGAGTGGTATAAAAACAAGAAAAAAGACAAGCACAGCAATGTCTGACTTAATAGGTATACAATTTTTAAAAACCTAATTGCTTTATTTTGAAATTATAATATTTTTTTAAATATATTATTTTTAAAATAATATAAATGTTAAGTCATGAATAATACATTTTCTTCTAAAAAATTTGATCAACAATAACATTGCCAATGAAAACAATAACATTGACAAATATTTTTTTTTAAATATTATGATCTAATATATTTAAAATTAATATTAGTTGTTTGATACTAATCTTATATCTTAATACAATAATATTGATATAACATTAATATGTTAATATATAACAATAATAATAATATAATAACAATAATAATAATAATAATAATAATAGCAATAATAGTAATATTAATAATATGATAAAATTTTATCTTAAGGAAAAGGTAGAGACTTTATTCTATCTGAACTACCAACTTAAGGTGCTGTTCTTCGAAAAGCTATCCTCATTAAAGAGTTGCCATAAAAAAAAGTATATCCATTAGATGATTTGGTTAGGGAAACAAGGTTAGAAGTTGTTAAACAATGGAAAAAAGCAAACTCAGACTTTTCACATCCAGTTATTTTCACAGATAAGTCTATTGACAGAAAGATCAAAAAAATTTACAATGATGTTCAGGATATTTGCAGAAAAAGATTAACTAAAAAAGTAGAAATTGACAAAATAATGAAGTCTTTGTCACGACTCTTTGATATAACTAACTGCAAATGTGCAATTTTATTCTATAATGAATCAAGTTGTCTGGGATGTGAAAAAAGAGTTCATATTGACTGTAAATGTGAAAAGTCAGTGCGGATTCCTATAATAGAATTAGAATTTATTCAATCACAGAGAAATAAAGGAAAGCAGTCTCAAATTATGATAGGATCAAAAGACTACATAGAGACTAAAAGGAAGCAAAAGGCATTTGAACGAACATATAGCAAATAAAGTATTTCAATAGTCTATTTTGCATCGTGTTGAACATAGCTTGAAGTTCATTGGTTGTGATAGCACAGCTACAAATACAGGCCATAATGGAGGTGTTATTCATTGTTTAGAGATTAAATTAGAAAGAAAATTAGGGTGGCTAATATGCTCTCTTCACACAAACAAACTTTGTTTTCGGCATTTAGTAGAAGAGCTTGATGGGAAGACAACCTCAAAGACAGGGTTTTCTGGACTGATTGGTAAGTTGCTTTTCAAGGTTACTGAAATGGAAAGAAATTACAGTTTCAAGCCAATATCTATAGGTCCTGGTTTAATTGAACTTAATGAGGAAATAATAAAGGAGTTGTCTTCAGATCGGAAATATGCTTATAAAATATGCCAGACAGTAATTTCAGGAACTCTTACTGAAGATTTGGCAAACCAAAAACCAGGCACTATAGTTCATTCAAGGTGGCTTAATACAGGCTCTTTCTTACTTTTATTGTGGATAAGCAAGCATGGGTTAGAGCGAGATGACCTAACAAACTTAGAATTAATTGTAAAGTTTCTTGTATCAGTATACTTCCCTATGTGGTTCCAAATCAAAGTGAAGCATAGCTGGAGAGAAAGGCCACGGCACATCTTGAACCAACTTAACCTCATCAAACTTCAAGATAAAAATGTACAAAAAGTTATTGAAAAATATGTGAGATCATCAGCATGGAATTCTCATTCTGAAATCTTATTGCAGACATTACTTTGCAGCCAAAATAAAATTGAAAGGGAATTTGCTGTAAACAAAATTTTAGAAAAATTAGAAAACATGAGGAAACAGGAACTCTAGCTCCTAGAACATATAAGCTTCCTCATTTAAACCTGCGTGCAACCAAATTGATTGAGTTAATAACATGGGAAGAGGCCTATGAACCTATCTTAACCTGTCAAATGAACATAAATGAGCTAAAAAAAATCCTGGATTGTCCCATGGAAGTTCCGTATTTCCCTGTTCACACACAAGGGGTTGAAAGGGCAGTTAAAGAGTTAAAATTAACTTTCCTTAACCTCAAAATATATTAGTTATTTATAATGAAAAAAAAAATTTTTTACTGCATTAAGAATACTTTTAAAAAAAATTTATTTTATTTAGGTAACTGCAGCTTCTGAAACAGTGTTTGGTTTTGAGAGACGAGATAGATTTATTCGTGCATGACAGAAAATAGATCGATAATACATCGTTTTAACAGCAAGAAGGGCCTCATTAAATTTTAGCATTCTTTTTCAGTACCTCTAGTAGAGTTTTAAAGATTGAAAAATGAGTTTAATTTTTGCTTTTCAACTTATATAACCCTCATATATTAAGTAAGCATTTATAAAACCACTTACACTTACGCAAGGGGTTAGGGGGGGGGGTTAAGGTTGTCGAAGGAAGGAGCGCTTGAGAGCCACTCAAAATATTTCAAAACTGTTCTATATTTACTGATATTATTGAAATAAGTTTTCAAAGTTTTTTTGCCATCTATATAGGATAATCTTAGACATAATATGATTTTGGTCCCCCTCCCCATTTAAGTTAATTTTTGAAAACTTAAGGTCAATTTTTGCAAATGTTGCCTTTATTCTAATAAATTTATTTATGTCTTTCTTTAATGTATATACCTAACAGCAAAATAATTATAAGGACTGAGTTTTTTAAACAAAGTTGAAAAGTACGGGATGCCCTAGTGTATATCATTTTTTAGAGTTGCTTAGCTTTACTTAAGAGATAAGAACATGCAATGTATTTTACATTCTTTATAGCTTAAAATAACTTATTTCTAGAAACACCATACCATATTAGTATTATATTGATTTCTTGCATCTTTTTCCATGTATTCGCGTAATTTCTTGCTTATTAAAGATTCAGCAATACAAATGGCATCTAAACTACCTTCTATTGTAATTACTCTCTCTCCAGTACAAACAAATCCAGTAGGAATCATTTGAGAACTTTCTTCATATCTAAAATAAAAGTCCTTCAATAATATACTTGAACTAATAGAATAACTTAAAGTAAAGTGGTTATGTCACCTAAAATAATTTACTCCTCAAAACAGTTCATAACTATAGAGTTAGTATAATAAACTAAATAATATTTGTGTTAAACAAATTTTGACTTCTTCAAGAAGCAGACAATATGAAAACCAATTGCAGTGATTTCATTACTATTTCATACTATAATTTTATTAATTTTAGCAAATTTACTTTATCTAGTTCAAATTTTAATTTAATTGTGTCAATTAGAAATTATTTTATATTGATTTAATTACATAAATGTTATATGATTCAGTTGCGTATTTTTAATTGATTAAATTATGCTCAAGTAATTCAATTCAGTTATGTATTTTTAAATTGTTTACACATTTGTGACTTTTTAATAAAAAAAAAATTCACTCCACTAAGGCTCTAAAAGGCGCCACTACAGTTGAAGAGGCGCCTTCTGGAGCCTACAGTTGTGTGGAAAAACAAGTTAAGCACAGTATGCGGTGGAAATCAAACTTAGAGCTTTTTGTTTATGAAGCAAACACTCTACCACTACATTAAAACTGCTTTGGCATTAGGCAATTAGGAATTATATACATAATCAACCCTCGGAATTAGGGACCGCATTTGGCAATGCCGATCCAACTGTCGACCTGAAAATGTTTGAGGTCTGCAAAAAATTGCTGACCTCATTTCTATATTTTATGGTCAGGCCTTTTTATCAGATAATTTTTGCCGAACTGATGCCGAACTCAAAAAGATTGAGGTCGGCAAATTAATGCCAACCTCATTTTTCCTAATTCCGAGGGTTGCATAATATACTTCATTTCTTATCATTTGCTTTGGAACAAAAATTACTTTTAAAAAGCTTATAAGACGGATGACTATGATGACTTTGAAGACTTGTGTTGGAGAGTGTTTAAAGACTTGTGTTGGAGATTACATTGCAATTTTTTGCAATGTAACAAAGTTGAACTACATTGCAGTTATCTTATTTCAAAATATGTTTATGAAATGGATGCCAACTTCAAATTAAACTTTGTTATATTGCAATTTTTTGTAATGTAACAAAGTTGCACTACAAAAGTAATAAATTACATTTTGTAATAAAAATAAAATAATTGCAATGTTGTAATTATTGTAAAAATATTAAAATTAATTTATTAAATTTTTAAGTTAAAATTAAAATAAAAAAAAATATATTGTAAAAATATTAAAATAAACAATTTGTAGAATTGTTTACAATATATTTTTACAATATATTTTTTTTTATTTTAATTTTAACTTTAAAATTTAATAAATTAATTTTAATATTTTTACAATAATTACAACATTGCAATTATTTTATTTTTATTACATTGCATTTTATAATTTATTTCATTGCAAACCTTTACACATGTATGTCAAAAGGTTTTGAGTAAAAATTAATTTTCCTTTGATTAGTGGCTAAGACCTATTTGCTGATTTTCACAATTAAACTAATTTTTGACATCATTAGCACCTCATTATTAAAGTTAATCTAAATTTTAATTTACTTATTTTAATGTTGCTTAACTTTATATAGAGGTGGACTTTGAACCTAAAACTCTGTAAATAACAAAGATTTTTGTTTTACTGTTGTTAAGTCAATTTTTATCGACTAAATAATTGTATTAGAATCAACCACTTTTTCAAGATTCCTCACAACAACTGAAAGCATATTGGCTTATACATAAATATTAAACAGGTTTCAAGTACACCATTTTAAAGTCTGCAAAATAATAATAAATGAATATACATACTAAATATATTGCATATTCTATATATACATTATATCATTAAATTATAAAAGTAAAACAATTGACCTACAAAAAAAATTTTTTAATTATAAAAATTTAAAATAAATTTTATAATAGGTAACTTTTATATTTTAAAACAAAAAAAAATTTAATAATTTAATATAACATGGTAACAAAAAAACAATAAATAATCAATTCTAGATCTTAAATTTAAATCATAACAGTAATTCAACATAGATTTGACATAGAATGATGTAGAATGGCGTGACTTGACACAGAATGACATAATTTAAATAATTATTAAATATAACTTTAGTCATAAAAATTAATGAATCTTGAAAAAAAAAAGGTCATATTTATAAAAAGTTCATCTTACATAGAATTGGAAATAATAAGCTTGGAAACATTTGACTCTTGTTTTGTTTGTTTAAGATTATTACCACCTTTGCCAATAATTCGACCACATAATAAGTCATGGGCAAGTAACTTAAGTTGAATTGGTTTTCGAGCGTCTGTATCTCGTTTTTCATATTCATTACTAAAAGCTGAAAGAATTTCACGAATTGCTTTTGAAAATGATTCAGGATCTCCTTTTATTGTAACTATTGTTTCATCACAGGGACCTCGGTAACATGGTCCTTTATCTCTATGAATGTCAATTCTAGGAAGAAAAAAACACATCTAAATATGGATGGTCACCTCAGGTCCTATTTTTGAAAACTTTGCCTTAGAGAATAAATATTATTAACATAAAAACGTCTTTAAAAAAAATTCATTAAAAAAAATAAAACTACATGCTTTGTGCCAGTGTTTGTTTGCATCGCTGTTATAGTGCAACCTCCTTTTCCCAACAAAACTTTTACCATATCGCTAGGTACAAGTATTCTAAAAACAAAATAAAGAACTATAATGAAAACATTTAAAATAGAAAACTAACCCAGTGTTTCTTAATGACAGTTTACTGCTATTAATATGTATGTATTTAATACTTTAAATTAAAGTTTATACAATTGTTTCTTTTAAATGCTAAAATATACTTATATAAAACTTAAGATCTAATTTTGATGTTTATATTGAATTTTCAAAACTTACAATATATATATATATATATATATATATATATATATATATATATATATATATATATATATATATATATATATATATATATATATAATATATATATATATAAATATATATATATAAATATATATATATATATATATATATATATATATAAATATATATATAAATATATATACAAACCCTTGGAATTAGGAAAAATGAGGTCGGTAATTTTTTCTAAACTAAAACACTTTTAAGTCGGCATTCTCAAATACCAACCCTTATTCCGAGTGTTGATTTATATATACGTACATATATATATATATATATATATATATATATATATATATATATATATATATATATATATATATATATATATATATATATATATATATATATATATATATATATATATATAGTCTTTATCAGAAGTAAATAAGTACACAACCTATGAACACCTATATTAAATGGACTAGACAGGCTAGGGAGGCCTCATGAATAGATGGTCTTGCATGAGCTTTTCCAAGAAATTAAAGTTATGGGATATTAAAAATATTTGTTTTTATAGCGATAAAAAGACAGAAAAACAGACATTAAAAAAACTTCTTTATTTTATCTTAATGTCTTTTTTCTAAATTAATTCTTATATTATTATTTTTATGTATTTATTAGTAATTATTAACTTAGTTATTACTTAAATAAATATAAAAATTTTGCAATATAATCAATCATTTTAATAAAACAACAATATAAAAATACTGTTATACAATCAATGTTTTTTACTAAAATGATTAATCTTCTATATATCATTATAAAAATTCATTCATTTCCCTACTTCTTTATGAATAAATTATGTCATTGAATATGAAAATATTGATGGCCGCACTATAATAACTAAAGTGAGAGTGGCAAATCATTTAAAAAGACTTTTGTTATTAAACCTTGAATTAGACACTTGTAAAGTTAAGGTAACAGTTTTTCAAATTTACACTACACTTTTTTCTTTGCTCGGAGCCATTTGTATTTGTTTCATTTTGTGAATTTTTTTTGTTTGAAGCTTTTGTTTCGATTTGTTTACTTACTCTCAAGTGAAATTCAGTTTGTTATTTAGTTGTACTGAATAAGTTGTTGTACTAAATACTGAAAAAGCAGATTAACATGTTAAATTCTTTTGCAACAAAACAATAATATGAAATAGTTATTGTTTGAAAAAACTGTTAAATTTTTTCATTTTTATTTTATTACATTATAATATTACATCTTAATCAAAAGAATTTTTTTTTTTTTTTTGAGCACATACTAAATTAAATTTTTTTAAAAAGAAGTAGTTTTTAAATAGAAGTTTGACACCCATGTTGTCATGTTGCCACCCATGTTGAAATTACATCATGCAAAAAGTTTTTAAATAGAAGTTTGCCACCCATGTTGAAATTACATCATGCTTTATTTTGCGCGGGGTAAATTATAAATTTTTTGGTAAAATATAATAAATATTTTGACATGATTTTTTCCCAAAATGTTGTTATAGAGTTAAAAACTATTACAAAGACTCTACACCACTACCACATAGTGGTGTTTACTGTTGACTTGTGTAACCAAAAAGAAATAAAATTAAAGTCTTTTTTAGGTAGTTTTGTTTCATATGTATTATGAGGTGATATATTATAACAAGAAAACTGTTAAAATTAAATAAAAGTGTCAAGATTATACCAAGTATAAGTCACTCTCACTCTGTTTTTAAAGATATAAAGATATACAAATTTAAAAAATAAAAACCTGCAGGGATATTGTTGAGGGATTTGATGTCTATTATAATCATAGTGTTGATTGTAGCTTTGTTTTTGACGTTGAGGATACCCATCTTGGTCTTTTGAATAATCATGACGAAAAAAGTCATCTTTATTTTTTGAAAACCTACTTCTAATCCTTTTTTCCTTTGTTTCATTAGCACGATCAATTTCTTTTCTTGCAGGTTTAATTGAAATTATTGATCCTGAAATCTCCATTTCTAAAGTTCACAATGTATTGAGCATATAATAGCAAAATCTCAAAAACAAGTTAATGTTAAAAATAAATATATTTTATATTTTAATAAAAAAATTCATTTTTAAATACTTATTCATCCTTTTCAATTTTTGATTATCATTATTATTATATTACTTCATTTAGTGTTTAAAAAAAAGTGATAACAAATTTTGAATACTCTTAAATCTAAAAATCTATTTCTTCAAAGAGAAAACATTTAAATTATATTTTAAATCTGCCACAGGTAATATTAAAGCAAACAAGATGTTACTTGCAATTTTTTGTTTAAAGAATTATTTTTAATTTGAAGCTTTTAACTTGAAATTAATTTTTTGATATAATAATCCCTTCTTAAAATTTTAGTTGATCCTCCTTGGTTTGCTTTTCTCAAACCCCTATTAGGCTCTCCTATTTACTAATGTTTTTATTAAATATAAATAACTAAAATAACTGCCTTATATTGATTGTTACAACAAAAAAATTCTTTAGTGCAACTTTTTCTTATAACGTTTACAAAAACAAGAAAAATAAAATAGTTTTTTTTTTTAAATTTTTTTATAAATTTAGAGTAAGATTTAACAATAACTTGTTTTTATTTTATATAAGAAAAGGATTCATTTGAATGGTTCACAAAATATGCTCAAAAAACTTGTCGAAAAGTTAATTAAAGGTTAACTCCAAAAGTTTATAAAAGATTAAAAGATTATTAAGCAAGTTGGTTTATTTATGATATATTCTGACTTTTATGGGCAGAAAAAAAAAGCTAATTAAATTCTAAATAAAATAACTAAAATAAAAACGAAAAACCTTTTGTTATAAAAAAATAGGACAAAAAAATATTTTAAAAGAATATTTTGTGATTTTTATAAAAACATAACCTTTATTATTGATTTGATGAGCTCTTGTGCATTTTTTGGCTTTATGAAAATGTAAAAAACTATTTAACAAGTGCTTGACTGAATCTTATTTTACTGCCTGCTGGAAAATGGCATCTGTTGGTTCCAATTTTTTAAAACTCTCATGAACATTCTGAAAATTCTTCAAACTATCGTCTGATCAGTCTTCAATCGTTGGGAAAGACTTGCTATTAATTTTGTTCGAAGAGGGTCAACAAAATTTAAGCAAGTCTTTCCCAAGGTCTAGTAGAGGAGATTAGTTGAGCTGATGGGGGTTGGACAAATTTTGCCAATAGTGTAGAGTAAATTTTGCGTTTTGTATTATTGGTTCAATTGTGTAACTACTGAGTAGCATAGTTTGATCTGCAGTTATTAGAGTATACTAATATTGGTATTTGCTGCAAGACAAGAATTTGGTCAGTTAAAATATCATATTTTGGAGCAAAAAACAGTAGATGTCTCCATTGACGACAACACTCCATAATAGCCGTTGCTTTTCATTCTATAATAGATTTGAAACTTTATATTCTTGATAGCAATCTAGAAATGAATGCAATAAGTCTTCCTTCTTGGCATTCCACAAATTTTGATTTGAGAAGCATCAGTATAAATTTAGTGGGATATTTGGGTATGGTGTTGCTAAAGATACAGCAGTTAGTGTTTAAGCTGTTTAATAGCTAAAATAGCTTCATATGAAAGAAACTTTTATTTATTGAGTCGTGAGAAATCTATTTACCATAATATGCAAAAATGCCTATCAAGCTGTTTAATGTTGGTTGAAATAAGATATTATTGTAGACCCTGGATCTAGTTTCGACATTCTATTTTCTGTTAGGTACGAAAGAAACAAAGCGAGGTTTGAGAACTTACACTATTTGTTGTTCATTTTCATCCCAAAATCATTTGCTGCTATTTTAAATGCTGTGAGGATTCCTCCATATTTTTCAGGATTAGATTCACATCTCATAACATAATCTAGATGTTAAAGGGATCCCTAAGTGCTCCTAACATATGATCTCATATGAAAGAGCATTAAAAAAAAAATATTTAAGTTTTTTTTCTTTTTCACTAAATTGTAATAATAAATGCATGCTAACAAAAAGCAATTGCCGAAATCACTGAAAAACAACTCCATTTTGATTTTATTTTTTCACCATTGAAACTCGATGTTAGTTGTTAAAAATCACATTAGCACGTCACAACAACTTTAAAATATCTACTTCGATTTTCAAGTAAAAAAAAAGTCGCGATTAAATAGTTAGGTTTTAATCAAGTTTTTTTAATTTGTTTTGCAAAAACAGTATAATATCATTCGGTTGAATAACGTCGTTAAAAAAAAGTTATTAAGTAATAGTTTTTGATAGTTTAGAACTTATAAAAAAGTCTTACAGGGCTCGTATTAAGCGTTTCGCGATTGCTTTTCACACTTTTGTGATTAGTTTTTTCTTAAAAAAAATCTTTTCGCGATTTGTTTTTTTTTTGGTTGTTTAATTACTTTTTTTCTAGCTTAGCATTTTTTTTAGCAATTCTTAAAAGTAATGTTTTTATCATAAAGAACGTCACACAAAATTTATTGTTCTGAATAGATAGATTTGTTCTTTCGCGCGGAGATTTTCTTTCAACGTTAAATTACTGCGTGGAAAATTTTTACTAGGTCGTTAAAGCGAAAAGTTGAAAAGTTGGTTTTTATCTTTGTTTATCAAAACTTTATGTTTAAAATAAGGCTTAAAAACGTTAGAGCAAAAAAAATACTGACTTTTATTTGCATTTTTATACTGTTTGAAAAAAAAAACTAATAAAAAAGAATTAATCGTTATTATTATTAATTCTAATAATTATTAATTAATATATTATTAGTTAATTCTTTTTTATTAGTTTTTTTTTTCAAACAGTATAAAAATGCTAATAAAAACCAGCAATTTTTTTTACTTTACGTTTTCAAGCCTTATTTTAAACATGAAGTATAATTCGATTTATTTAACCAAATTTTTTTGTTTCATCTTTTATTGGAAAATTTGAAATAAAAAAAATTGAATAAAAACATCAACCATTTAAATGAAAAAATTAATTATTTTTAAACTTTTATTAGTCCTTTATTCAAGAAACAATAAATTATAAAAAACGTGGTATCTAATTTTTTATTAAGTTTTTGACAATGTTTTTTGATTTATTGACGATAATTCCCCCCCCCCCCCCATTCACGCACATCGACTTATAAGAGAGAGAGAGAGAGAGAGAGGGGGGGGGGGGGGGAGAAAGCAAAAAAAAAAAAAATTTTTTTTTCGCGATTAGATTTTTTTGCGTTAATTTGAGCCCTGTCTTAGTTTAATTTCTAATAAAATGTCTATTCAACCTTATCAATTTGAACCAAAAAAATATAGCAAAATTAACATAAATGTTAATTTAACTAAAACATTTTACAGTAATTATTTTTTTTATCAAGCAAAAATGAGAGTAACTTTTGAAACCATAAAAATTACTGAAATAAATTTATTTTTCTACAAAGGAAATATTTTAAATAAACTTTCATGTGTCTAAATCAATATTCATTTGTTAAAAACTGACTAAAAAGAATTTAAAATTTGACTTCTATTCATTTTTGGTCGTGGAATTGCCCTTATAACACAAACATATAAATTTAAATTATAAAAAAAATTTTAATATACAAATATATTTTCACAAAATGCTACAAAACTTATTCTTGTAAGTAATTGTGTTAGTTGAAAAAAAAACGACTTTACTTTTAAATTTAATTACCAACTAATAAGTTTGCAATAATGACATTTTGTCTACTTTGTTTATTTTGATGTACAAACGTTAGTTTTTTGAGGCAGTAGAGTCAATAAACTTTGGACAAGACGCATTTTTTTTAATCGAAGAAAAGCGTTTTTTTGAAAATTAAATTTGTTAGTGTGTGTTCATTATTACGTTTTAGAAAAAATAATATACATCAAACATTTTTTTTTTTAATGCTCTTTCATATGAGATCATATCTTTATAGCACTTAGGGATCCCTTTAACATTCCTATGTTAATGAATAGCAACTCCCTCACAGAGTTTAATTTTTTTTACATCTTTTGGAATAACATTTATACTAAAATCTCAGACAGAGATAGGCATTTATAAAACTTGTCTAGAAGACAAGTTCCACAAACGTATTGTAAATGTTATTTTAAAAATCTGTATAAAACAACAATTTTACTTAAATTATCAATGAATATTATACATATTTAAATTTATAAAAATATATATTTTATTATAATTTTTAATTAATTTTATAATATCTTTTAATAAATTTTATTATCTTTTAATAAATTTTATTAATTTTATAATATCTTTTCAAACTTTTTCTAGAATTAATTTTATTAACACTTTTAATAAAAAACATTTCTAGTGCAAAAACAAACATTACTCAACAACTCAAATTTAATAGTGTTATTAAAAGTATTAAAGATTAAAATTATTAAAAGTATTGGTTTCAATAAGCTTTAAAGTAACTATTACGTTAAAACTTTTATAAAATAAATTTAAAAGGGGTTGTAATGTAAAAGCTAAAATATTTGTTTGAAATTTATAAAAACCATTGTACAAAAAACGAAATAAATACTAAACTATAAATTTAAATTAATAACTAATTGCAACACTTTAATGACAAAAACCGGGCTACTTAATTCAAAAAAATGTAATGCTTTGGCATCTTTTAAAAAATAAATTAACTCAAAAAAAAAAGATGTATTTTATTAATGTAGCCGTGTGTTCAACTTTAAAATTTCACTTCTTTAATAAATGATGTTTTTTCAAAATATCATTTATTAAAACTATACAGCAATATAATATTATAATGCTTACTGCTTACATAAAATCGCTTTAGGCATACATAAATCACTCTACGCATAATGCTTTAAAACAAGGCCTGATATATATATATATATATATATATATATATATATATATATATATATATATATATATATATATATATATATATATATATATAATTTACTAAATACTAGTCATAATCTGTTTAAATTAAATATCAAATATTAAAAATCAAAATATCCTGCGCTCAATAAAATATAAAATCAAA